TAATCATTTACCAACGCATGATTTTCTTTAAAGAAGAAAAAGTCTCATTCATACTGTGAGTAAAAATTGAATAGAATCACATTCAAGTGTAAGACTCACGCTTGTTCAAATCAGTAACCCCTTTTTGGTACATTGTTTGATATCTTTCCAGAGGGTCTCATCATTAATTAACTGCATCACTTTCCACTGTATGATACCATCCCACACCGAAGGATCTTATCTTCACAACATGATTTTTCTTTTTAATCTCCCTTCAATATTGACTCATGTTCAAACCGATACTTTATTCACATTGTCAGGCATCTTTCCCGGGGTCCTTATCATTTACTGTATCATGTCGGTATGTTAAAGGCTCTTTTCATTTCCTTTAATATTGACTTATGTTCACGCCGCTCCTTTATTCACATTGTCAGGCATCTTTCCTGGGGTCCTTATCATTTACTGTATCATGTCGGTATGTTAAAGGCTCTTTTCATTTCCTTTAATATTGACTTATGTTCACGCCGCTCCTTTATTCACATTGTCAGGCATCTTTCGTTGGTCCTTATCATTTACTGCATCATTCCCCTCAGCAGGATTCTGCACAAATCTTACCCACGCCTCATTATTCAAGGTCATACTACTCAATAGTAATTTTTAATTTACACGTGCGAGATGGCAGCGAAGGTCACATCTCAAGCGCATGCGCTGTGTACTTCAACCACTTGAAATTTACACGTGCGAGATGGCAGCTAAGGTCACATCTCAAGCGCATGCGCTGTGTACTTCAAACACTTGAAATACTAAAAGTGTTTTGTATGTGTTAAGACGTTAAAACTCTGCAAAAATCAAGACACACAAATCTGGAAATCTGACAGAATGGCAACACAACAGACAGAATACCATGAAATTAGTAAGTGCGAGCTCTTTCTGTTTATTTCAAATTAGAGAATGTTTTTTATATTCAACAGAATCTATCTCCTCATTTTCAGAAAAATGTAATCGCTGTCGCGATTTCTGCATAACAGCTAAATGTGGACATACAGTCCATTTGTCCCCGTTGATGGAGTCACGGGGAAAATTCAAGTGCAAAATTTGCGGGTTTGTATGTCTTTAAAGATATTTTAATCTCAGGTTGCGTTTCATGTCATTGATTTTTACTCTTCATTCATGTAGTGTATCGGACGCAGGTGTCGATGCCGCTGTACGTCAATTTGTGATGTAAGTTTTAATTCATGGGTGTGTTTATACCATACTGTGCTATTATATAAAGTTTAAATATATATATATATATATATATGTTTGAGGTATAAACTGTCATACGGAAGCAGCAATTTTATATAATGGTTCTTATTTCATTCATTCAGAAAACTGTGTACAGAGGGCATCATGTTCGAGGTAGAACATTGACGACGAAGATTTGATGTAACAATATAAATAAAATTTACAAATGTTGAATGACTCGTTTTTTAAGTTTGTTCATTTTATCTGAAACAAATATTTTAAGCCAATCTTTAGAAGTATATTTTAGTATCTCAAGTCCGTTAACAGGTGGGTCGACATCTTCAATGCTTTTCATAAAATCTTTCATAACAGTCTCCTCAGACACGCTTCCCAGGCATCATCAAAATGCAACAACATACGCTCGTCATGCTCCATCATGAGACAGTCATGCTCGAGTTGAGAGGGGTGATCAATCATGCATCCATTGCAGTTCTTATTTACTTCAGCGTTTATCATTGCAGCAATTTCTTCAGCATAGCAGTCTAAAAGTTTATTTTCTAACAAACTTTGACGTACAGTTATTTCATCCTTTTCTGACTCCAAAGTCAATTTGTTCATTCTTAATGCCAGATCAATGTCTACATTCAATTCCATTTGTTTCAAGAGATAAAATGTAAACCTTTCGATAAAGTATAAACTACAAAATGCAATTACCTCGTTTTCTACCGTTTTTACCTTTGATTGAGAAAAGGAAACGGATCTAATGTTACTTTGTCAATAGCATGCAACTTCCAGCTTTGTCGTATTTCCGATTTTCACGCCATACAATGCCCTGCCATGTTTATTAAACCCTATTTCCGGTTGACATGCGCGCGCACCGATCAACTTCAGGGGACTGGAAACTAACTGGCACGGGTAAGAGCTCTGTGACAAAAGTGTGACAAAGCTGCATCTTATCTACTAACTCTCCATTCATGATAGCCTTCTAATCAATAAATACAAGCCTTCACTCTCCGTGCAAGGAGGTTCCATTCCACTTAACATTATTTAACTTCACTAATTTTACTTCCCAACTTCTTTATCATGTAATTCATTTGACACCGCCTCCTTTAGTCGTAATTTAACACCTTTTTTAAATACAATATCTTGTCTTAACATCTCATTATAAATTATCACTTGCCTGAATATGACTTGAGTAAGGACGAAACGTCAGTATAAATTCAATTTTACAACTTTTGGTCTATTTCTAGGGCTCTAATAAAAACTTTATGTTAGGCATTAATTTTTATCATATTACAAGAAAAAATTAGTTTTCACAAACACAAAAAGCCAAAAGAACGGTAATATATAAGAGAAAGTTTTGAAAGAATTTAGGACAAGGTGAAATGAACGACAAGAAGACATGGACTTTACTGTTACTCAAATGCGTAATATACTTAAGAAATGTATTCGAGAATGCAAATATGCTGCGATGATTATCAAAACTGCCAGTTGCATCAAACATTTTCAATAAAGTAAAGGCCATAGTGTTCAAGCAAATTTGCAGCTTGTCCAATCCAGAGATTCTTAAAAACGCGAACATGAAATGGCGATAGAATCATCATTTTCAAATGATACCAATAGCACTAGCTCCAGTGTCAATCTTTTTCTGATTTTTCAGAAAAACAATGAAGAAATTTGACAATTGAAAAGAGAAGGTTAAGATAGTTTTAAAAAATCGTTTGTCCAAACAAACTGAAAAAAAGTATCAACAAAAGACAATGTTTTTGAAGCTATAGCTCTTTTAAAGACATTTGTGGACGATGATCCTTCCAAGGAGCTGCTAATTTTCATGCAAGATGAAACTGAAAAATTAAGAAAGCTTGAAATTGAAATGAAAAAGATTTCTTAATTTTATATCTATATTAAATAGTGCATATCATTTACCAACACCAAATTTTCAATTCGAACAAAATTTCCACGCATCAGCTAATTTTCAGCATTATCAATTGCCAACACAATTCATTCAGCAGCCACTCCAAACTACAGCATTACTCATACCGACAATAATCATAAACAATACCAATCATTATAGAAGTTATGTCAATAAAAATAACATATTACAATTATTATTATGTTCTGAACCACATGCTGTGTTTAATTACTTCATATATTTTAGTTCGGTTTTAAAGAGAGATTTCAAATGATAAAGATGATCTTTTCCTGTTAGTTACAATAGCGATAGGTTGCTATATTATCAAATTTCATGAATATGTTCCATTAAACCGTCTATATATGAAGTTAGTTCTGAATATATTGACAAAATCTTTGTCTAAACTAAAAAAGTATTCTATCTTTCCTTTCTTGCATATATTAGCTTGCCAATTGTTTATATATTTCAGTACGTAGAGAGAAAACTAATGCACAAAACAAATATTTTTATTAAGGTATCTATTCTTGGCAGAAAGTACAGAACTTTTCTTATGGTTATGGAGCATTACTGCAAATAAACATCATATTTTTTCAGTTTCACTTCAGTCAATAGCACATTATCTAACGCTTGACATGGCTAAAGGAAAGATTTATTGGCGAGTTTTTAACGGAAATGTTTTTTCTTGTGATTACTACTCCCATAATGTAATTGATTTTGGAACTTCAGGAGGTCCCATGGCAGTATTTGGGGATTATATTTATATCATGACTAGTGTTGGACGAAGTGTCGTTAGTGTCCATAACACAACAGATCAACGTACGAGACGTAAATTTATTCTTCCTGTAAACAACGGTTATCTTGATTTGGCTGTAGCTATACATAGCATCACTCCTGACTCAAACGGTAGTAAAATATTTACTTATTTGACATAATAATCTAAGACTTGCAAAAACTCCCACGCTAATGTTCATCAAATAGAAAGACGTTAAACAGTTCAAAGTTACATTGCCTTAGTAAACGGTTGTTCTTCCTTCCCAAATTATAGAAAATTTGATAAACATTAAGTTGAAAGTGCAAATTGTCTAATCTGGATGTTTTTGCCGTTTGTCTATTCTTGCCAAAATTCTTGGGTATTAAATTTATATCTTTATTGCTTCTTACATCATTTCAACAATCACTCTGGCTTGTAATCAGTCTTAAATAAGAAAAAAGTCATGAAAATAGAATGAAAGAAAAACGTCCAATTTGAGCATGTTGTGCAGTGAGCTTAATATTTATCAAATCTTCTAAATATTTAGTACATTGCAAATCAGAGTTCAAAATTTTACATCTTTGGATTAAACTAGATTTGAAACTTTTCATTTTCTTTCTGCATGCAGTTCAAAGTGAGGCAATTACGAAATACTCTCATGGTTTTCGAGATTAATTTTTAATTCATTTTACTTTTAAATAATCAAGACGAGACAATGCCAAAACACATGAGCTTTGACACATTTTGTTAGAACTATTGATGAATTGATAATTAACTGAACATTTTTCAATTATCTAACTTCTTTAGATACATCCTTTATAGTATCCAAAACAGCCAGCAAATTTGTTCATACTCTGTAAATTTTCAACATTTATTTAATGGTTTTGTTTTTACGATATTCGTGAACACCAAAGATACCAACAATACACAACCAATTTCATAGCTGGGTACGACATAGTGGATACTGAGTGACAAATTGTGTTCTTTGAGAAAGAACATGTTTTCTTTTAAAATCCATGGTTGATTTTATTTTTAATTTTATTCATCTATATAGCGACAAACACTTTTCGCTTTCCTTTATGTGGACCCAACACATACTATCGTAAAATTAATGGAACATTATACTGCACGTGTATGGATGGATACTCAGGAGAATGTAACTCGTGCCAGGGTATGGATTTATTACTAAACAAACACAACTTGTTTTAAGAGGACATAATTAAACATAAAAAGGACAGCCCATTGACCAAATTTTCGGTGGTGGAATGGGATAATCTTATACTATCAGTTTTGTTATGATTGTTTACATTCATTATAGCTTTTTGAAGCTGTAGGCTGTAGGATTTGAAGCTCCATTAAATTTTTTTCATATTTGAAAGAAGCATCTCTAAATTTACATTACGGTGTAACTTGATGTCTTGTAATGGCGTGCTGTCTATCTTAAAATCCATTTTAATTTCGTTTCTACTGACCGTTAAGGTTTAGCAATAGCCATGCCTAGACAGCACCAGAAACGTATTTCTAAATAAGGAAAACGACAGTTAATTTAAAAATACGATATATTTTCCACGTTGTAAGCAAAGAGTCTATGTGAACAATTTACTTTTTATTTTTTGCTTGTTTCAACAAGTTATGGGGCAGTGTTGCCATATGGGAATAAAATCAAATGATTGAATGGAAAACCAATGGGAACATTCGCAAGTTAAAGGGTTAACGAGTTATTTATATTACAAAAAAAAATGAGAACTGATCTAAATAAAAAATTACTTAGACTCATAAAAGTCAAATAGTGTCTACTTGCCAAAACGTTTTGATATTGTATTCATGTAAGTTTTTTTTATCAATTTTTTGTTACTTATTTTATTCATTAATTTCGCCTAAGAAGATTTTACAATGGCATCTAATATGTTAGGATACTTTATATGTATACATGTAACTTAGAATATTTCGGAGTTGAGACTTCCATGTTTTGAAATATCTCTTTATTTTCTCTTTTTATCAGTTAACAACTCTGTAAGACTTCGGGGACCAGAAAGTTCTTTTGGCAGAGGTCGTGTGGAAGTATTTTACAATGGAGAATGGGGAACAATTTGTGATGATGGCTGGGAAATAAACGATGCTAAAGTTGTTTGTCGACAACTTGGTTATGACTATGCTATCATGGCATTACAAGGAGGTAATGTTCTGCATGGCAGTGGAAGAATATGGTTAGACGAAGTTCGTTGTATAGGAAATGAAAAAAATATTTTGAGTTGTTCACATAGAGGATGGGGATCACATAATTGTAGACATGATGAAGATGCTGGTGTACAATGTTCAGGTTTGTATGTACATTGTTTACCTTTTGTACAAGGATGATAAACTGAATTATTTGGGTGATCCTCAAAGAATAATTGGAACATTTAGTATGATTTTATAATATTGACACATATATTGACAAATGCATTAAGTATAAACACAGCTTCGGACGTAAAATTACTAAATAAACAAAACTCGTTCCACAAGGACATAATTAAACATAACCTTTTTAATGATTGCCCATAAAAAGATTCGATAATCCTGGAGAAAAAGGACATCCCATTGATCAAATTTTCCGTGGAGGAATGTGATAATCCTTATATTATCTGTTTTAATACGATTTTCACATTAATTATGGCTTTTTAAAGCTGCAGTCTGTAGCTTATGAAGCTCCATTAAAATTTTTTTGCATATTAAAAAGGAGCATCTCCAAATTTAGACTACCGTGTAACTGATGTCTTGTAATGGCGTGCTGTCTATCTGAAGAATTCGTTTTTAAATTCGTTTTTTACTGAATGTTAAGCCTTAGCATAAGCCATGCCTAGAGAGCACCAGAAACGTATTTCTGAATAATTAAAAAGACGGTTATTTTAAAAATACGATAAAGATTCCCACGTTGTAAACGAAGAGACTATGTGAACAATTTACTGTTTATTTTTTGCTTGTTTCAACAAGTTATGGGGTAGTGTTGCCATATGGCAATAAAATCAAATGATTGAATGGAACACCAATGGGGAAAGTTTGCAAGTTAAAGGGTTAAGAAGTTATTTATATTACAAAAAGAAATGAGGACTGATCTAAATAAGCGTTTTTTCGAACCATGAAAGTCAAATAGTGTGTTTAACAATCCAAAACGTCTTTATATGGTATTTATGTTAAGTTTTTTTTTATCAATATTTTGTTCCTAATTCAAAATCATTAATTTCACAAAAGAATATTTTACAATGATATCCAACATAACAGGATACTTTATATGTATACATGTAAATTAGAATAATTTGGAGTTAGACTTCTATGTTTAGCAATATCTATTTAATTTCTATTTTTATCAGCTTTCGAAAGCTTTTCAGCTTTCTATTTTCATCAGCTTTTCTTTTTTTTTCAGCTGTTAGACTTCGGGGACCAAGAAGTTCTATTGGCATAGGTCGTGTGGAAGTATTTTACAATGGTGAATGGGGAACAATTTGTGATGATGGCTGGGATTTAAACGATACTAAAGTTGTTTGTCGACAACTTGGTTATGACTATGCTGTCAGGACTTTACTAGGAGGCAATGTTCTACATGGCAGTGGAAGAATATGGTTAGACGAAGTTCGTTGTGTAGGAAATGAAAATAATATTTCGAGTTGTTCACATGGTGGATGGGGATCGAATAATTGTACACATGATAAAGATGCTGGTATACAATGTTCAGGTTTGTTTCTACATTATTTACATTTTTTTACAAAGATAATAAACTGAATTATTTGAAGGATCCTCAATGATTAATCGAAACATTTAATATGATTTTGAAATACTGAAACAAATATTGACAAATGCCTTAAGTATAAACACAGCTTCGGACGTAAATTAACCAAACAAACACAACTCGTTCCACGAGGACATAATTAAACATAACCTATTTTATGATTGCCCATAGAAAGATTCGATAATACCTGAGAAAAAGGGCAGTCCATTGACCAAATTTTCCGTGGAGGAATGTGATAATCCTTAAATATTCTGTTTGTTAGGATTGTTTACATTCATTATAGCTTTTTAAAGATGTAGGCTGCAGCTTATGAAGTTCCATTTAAATTTTTTTGCATATTTGAAAGGAGCATCTCTAAATATACACTACGGTGTAACTTGATGTCTTGTAATGGCGTGCTGTCTATGTTAAAAATCCATTTTTAATTTCGTTTTCTACTGACCATTATGATTTAGCAAAAGCCACGCCTATAGAGCACCAGAAACGTATTTCTGAACAAGTAAAACGACAGTTAATTTAAAAATACGATAAAGTTTTCTACGTTGTAAGCGAAGAGTCTATGTGAATAATATACTTTTTATTTTTTGCTTGTTTCAACAAGTTATGGGGCAGTGTTGCCATATGGCAATAAAATCAAATTATTAAATGGAAAACCAATGCAGAACATTCGCAAGTTAAAAGGTTAATAAGATATTTATATTACAAAAAAAAGGAGGAATGATCTAAATAAAAAATTATTTAGACTCATGAAAGTCAAATAGTGTTTACTTGTCGAAAACGTTTTGATATTGTACTCATGTAAGTTTTTTTATCAATTTTTTGTTACTAATTTAATTCATTAATTTCGCCAAAGAAATTTTACAATGGCATCTAACATATTTGGATACTTTATATGTATACATATAACTTAGAATATTTCGGAGTTGAGACTTCTATGTTTTGTAATATCTCTTTATTTTCTTTTTATCAGTTATCAACTCTGTTAGACTTCGGGGACCAAGAAATTCTAGTGGCATAGGTCGTGTGGAAGTATTTTACAATGGAGAATGGGGAACAATTTGTGATGATGGTTGGGACTTAAACGATGCTAAAGTTGTTTGTCGACAACTCGGTTATGACTATTATTTCAGGGCTTTACTAAGACGTAATGTTATACATGGCAGTGGAAGAATATGGTTGAGCAAAGTTCGTTGTATAGGAAATGAAAAAAATATTTTGAGTTGTTCACATAGAGAATGGGGATCACATAATTGTACACATAAGGAAGATGCTGGTGTACAATGTTCAGGTTTGTATGTACATTATTTACCTTTTGTACAAAGATGATAAACTGAATTATTTGGGTGATCCCCAAAGAATAATTTGAACATTTAGTATGATTTTATAATACTGACACATATATTGACAAATGCCTTAAGTATAAACACAGCTTCGGACGTAAATTAACCAAATAAACACAACCCGTTCCACGAGTACATAATTAAACATAACAAATTTTATGATTGCCCATAGAAAGATTCGATAATCCTAGAGAAAAAGAGCAGCCCATTGACCAAATTTTCCGTGGAGGAATGTGATAATCCTTATATTATCAGTTTGGTTACAATTTTACATTAATTATGTCTTTTAAAGCTGCAGGCTGTAGCTTATGAAGCTCCATTAAAATTTTTTTGCATTTTAAAAAGGAGCATCTCCAAATTTAGACTACCGTGTAACTTATGTCTTGTAATGGCGTTCTGTCTATCTGAAGAATTCATTTTTAAATTCGTTTTTTACAAACCGTTAAGGCTTAGCATAAGCTATGCTTACAGAGCACCCGAAATGTATTTCTGAATAATTAAAAAGAAGGTTATTTTAAAAATACGATAAAGCTTCCAACGTTGTAAACGAAGAGACTATGTGAACAATTTACTTTATATTTTTTGCTTGTTTCAACAAGTTATGGGGCTGTGTTGCCATATGGCAATAAAATCAAATGATTAAATGGAAAATCAATGGGGAACATTTGCAAGTTAAAAGGTTAATAAGATATTTATATTACAAAAAAATGAGGAATGATCTAAATAAAAAATTATTTAGACTCATGAAAGTCAAATAGTGTTTACTTGTCCAAAACGTTTTGATATTGTATTCATGTAAGTTTTTTTATCAATTTTTTGTTACTAATTTAATTCATTAATTTCGCCTAAGAAGTTTTTACAATGGCATCTAACATATTAGGATACTTTATATGTATACATGTAACTTAGAATATTTCGGAGTTAAAAGTTCTATGTTTTGCAATATCTCTTTATTTTCTTTTTTTTCAGTTATCAACTCTGTTAGACTTCGGGGACCAGAAATTTCTATTGGCAGAGGTCGTGGAAGTATTTTACAATGGAGAATGGGGAACAATTTGTGATGATGGCTGGGATATAAACGATGCTAAAGTTGTTTGTCGACAACTTGGTTATGACTATGCTGGCAGGGCTTTACTAGGAGATAATGCTCCACATGGCAGTGGAAGAATATGGTTAGACGAAGTTCGTTGTGTAGGAAATGAAAATAATATTTCGAGTTGTGCACATAGAGGATGGGGATCACATAATTGTACACATGATGAAGATGCTGGCATACAATGTTCAGGTTTGTTTCTACATTATTTACATTTTTTTTACAAAGATAACAAACTGAATTATTTGAAGGATCCTTAATGATTAATCGAAACATTTAATATGATTTTCAAATACTGAAACAAATATTGACAAATGCCTTAAGTATAAACAAGGCTTCGGACGTAAATTAACCAAATAAACACAACTCGTTCCACGAGTACATAATTAAACATAACCAATTTTAAGATTTCCCATAGAAAGATTCTATAATACCAGAGAAAATAGGCAGTCCATTGACCAACTTTTCTTTGGAGGATTGTGATAATCCTTAATTTATCAGTTTTGTTACGATTGTTTACATTCATTATAGCTATTTGAAGCTGTATGCTGTATCTTATGATGCTCCATTAAAATTTTCTTGCATAATATTAAGGAGCATGTCCAAATTTACACTGCAGTGTAACTTTATGTCAGGGGTGGATCTAGGATTTTTCAAACATCAGTCATAAAACGTCCGAGGCCCTCCGCACCTAGGGGGTCTGAGGCATTCTCCCTTGAGAAATTTTTAATTTCAGAGCCTTGAAAATGCCATTTTCAGCGTTTTAGAGCAGTACAAAATGTATTTTGTGGGAATCGTTTTTGCGTAAAAACAACACATTTTGCTTACGTTTTTCAAAACAAAATGAAGTGAACAATACTTGAATGTTTTTCCAAATATTTAGGCTCATTATCATTCCAAATATATGGCTCATTAGCATGTCTAGGAACGTAAAATTTATTTTACAGTAATGCTATTCAAAAACAGATATAGTCTTTAAAAATTTCTACCAAGTTGACAGGCATAGACCCCTAGAGACTCCCATTCAAACCTCTATGTAATGACTTAAGTTAGAAATTTGGTACTACAAGTGACAGTTCATAGATATAGAAAAGCTCAGACTTCAAACCATGCAAGTTTATTGTAACCCTTTACCCATCTCCACATCAGTGCCAGCAAATTCACGTTTTGAGAAAAAAATCAAAATTTATTTTCTGCCAAAGATTAAGAAAAATTATCAGAGTGTAAATTTGCAGTTAAGGACAGCTTAATGCCATAAATGTTTATTAGGCATTTCACTTGACTATTATTTTCTGCAAGGTGTGCTATATAGCAATCACTAGTAGCATTGTATTATCAAATATAAACAGAATGCAACCAACATGTCTTTAATTATATAATTACATGAATGTTAAAATTGGTTCATGTGTCATGTTTACTGGTTATGATAAATATCTTTTCATATGATCAAAGCTCGTTTAAATGTAAATCTGAAATAATTTAGTTTAGAAATTATAATGATTATCAGAAAAATTACCTAGTGATCATGAAAAATACTTTGCTGTTTTGCGAAATTTCAAGGTTTATCTGCATACATAGGAAGACATTTTTACTTTATAGAAAATGCTTTTCATACATCAATAGCCCTTTCGAATTTATGGCAAACAATCTGGTATGAGCCGTAGATCAACACACCTTGACATATCTACATGAGGTGTTCAGTTAGAAAAGGGGATAATATGTGACGTGGGACAACATTTTATGTATGTGAAATACTCAGGTTTAATACCATTCCAGTCAAATTGTCAAAATAAAAAGCTTCATGGATCAGAAGACTCAAAATCACAGGTTATATTAAACAGCTTCTCATGTAATCAATGTTAGTTTTCTCAAATCTTAAACAATATGTAGTATAACTGTCTAATGATTGAATGATCAATGATCATAAATTGAAAAGCCCCAAACATTTGTTTATAATAAAGTAAATAATAGTATGGCGCCTTATGGCTACAGATTTTTTGTCCATTGAAATATATTTGCAGGAATGTAGGATTTATTAATGTAGGATTTATTTAGGAATGTAGGATTTTTTAAGAATGTTAGAATGTAGGATTTATTTTATTCCCCAAGCAATAAAGAAATCATAGCTAAAAGTCCTTCGTCAACAACAATTTTAGAAGCATCAATCTGCTTACCATATGCCATATTGACATAAATCGCATCACACACTTGCATAAATTGACTTTGATATATTACATTCATGCATACACTTCAGTTGTCCTTTACTTACGATTTAGGATGTAAATTTCTGCTCATAAAACTAAAAACAATGTTGGCTTGCTTTTTAACATCAAGGACTGAAATGTCGCTCGCGAGATCGTCTTTGCCAAGAATTTACACTTCATCCATAAATTTTTCGCCCTCTTGAAAAAATTCACAGTTTGGACAGCAGCATTCATGTCAATATATGAATTTCAAATAATACAAAATAAAGCAAATTCCGAAGAGGGACATCTCGTTTTCTTGATATTCAAGATATTACAAGAGTTTGAAACAAAATAATGTGTAATATTTCGTCTTTATTCCAAAGACATCATCAGACTTATATGAATTATATAAAAGATAAATAATATATGAATTTGTAAAAGATTTCCATAAATTCCATCTGATTGTAGTTTAGTTTCTATCATGCTTATAAAAATTACTATGAAACGATCAAACATGCAATTCAGACAGTGAGCTTGACTATGTTAGTTCAGTTGGCTATCAGTTGAAAATCGTCAAACCAATCACAATAAAACAAAAATTCAAATGAACCAATTGTAAGATAGCAATTGGACTCCCTTATACGTCCGGCCACCCTTATTATCAGTCAAGACTATTCCAGACTGTCCACTGATCTGGCCATTGACCAATAAAATAAGCGTTTTTGGCGCTCATAGACTCCTTTACCCGTCGAACCAGTCAAGCCACCCGCTTATCAGTCGGTTATTCCAGGTCAAATAAAATTCAACTGATCTGGTTACCAAGGAGATCATTGGATTAGTCATTAGTTTTCAATAATAAATAAAGCTGGATTTTAATCACGAAGTAAATGCGATAATAAAGTAAGAATAATCAATGAATTTTTAACTAATATAAATAGGTAATTTTTGAATTTCAAACATCAGTCGCGCGACGGATTTGACATACTCTAGATCCGCCCCTGCTTTATGTGTTGTAATGGCCTACTGTCTATCTTAAGAATTCATTTTAAAATTCGTTTTTTACTGACCGTTAAGGTTTAGCAAAAGCCATGCCTAGAGAGCACCAGAAACGTATTTCTCAATAATTAAAAGACAGTTATTTTAAAAATACGATAAAGATTCCCTCGATGTAAACAAAGAGCCTATGTGAACAATTTACTGTTAATTTTTGCTTGTTTCAACAAGTTATGGGTAGTGCTGCGATATGGCAATAAAATCAAATGATTGAATGGAAAACCAATGGGGAAAGTTTGCAAGTCAAAGGGTTAAGAAGTAATTTATATTACACAAAGAAATGAGGCCTGATCTAAATAAAAGTTTTTTTCAATTCATGAAAGTCAAATAGTGTGTTTAACAGTCCAAAACGTCTTTATATGGTATTTATGTTAAGTTTTCTTATCAATATTTTGTTACTAATTCAAAATCATTAATTTTGCAAAAGAATATTTTACAATAACATCCAACATAACAGGATACTTTATATGTATACATGTAAATTAGAATAATTCGGAGTTAGACTTCTATGTTTAGCAATATCTATTTATTTTCTGTTTTTATTAGCTTTCAACTCTGTTAGACTTCGGGGACCAAGAAGTTCTATTGGCATAGGTCGTGTGGAAGTATTTTACAATGGTGAATGGGGAACAATTTGTGATGATGGCTGGGACTTAAACGATGCTAAAGTTGTTTGTCGACAACTTGGTTATGACTATGCTGTCAGGGCTTTACTAGGAGGTAATGTTCTACATGGCAGTGGAAGAATATGGTTAGACGAAGTTCGTTGTGTAGGAAATGAAAATAATATTTCGAGTTGTTCACATGGTGGATGGGGATCGCATAATTGTGCACATGATAAAGATGCTGGTATACAATGTTCAGGTTTGTTTCTACATTATTTACATTTTTTTACAAAGATAATAAACTGAATTATTTGAAGGATCCTCAATGATTAATCGAAACATTTAATATGATTTTCAAATACTGAAACAAATGTTGACAAATGCCTTAAGTATAAACACAGCTTCGGGCGTAAATTAACCAAATAAACACAACTTGTTCCACAAGGACATAATTAACATAACCTATTTTATGATTGCCCATAGAAAGATTCGATAATACCTGAGAAAAAGGCAGTCCATTGACCAAATTTTCCGTGGAGGAATGTGATAATCCTTAAATTATCTGTTTTGTTACGATTGTTTACATTCATTGTAGCTTTTTGAAGCTGTAGGCTGTAGGATTTGAAGCTCCATTAAAAATTTTGCATATTTGAAAGGAGCATCTCTAAATTTACACTACGGTGTAACTTGATGTCTTGTAATGGCGTGCTGTATATCTTAAAAATCTATTTTTAATTTCGTTTTCTACTGACCGTTAAGGTTTAGCAAAAGCCATGCCTAGAGAGCAACAGAAACGTATTTCTGAATAAGGAAAACGACAGTTAATTTAAAAATACGATAAATTTTCCACGTTGTAAGCAAAGAGTCTATGTGAACAATTTACTTTTTATTTTTTGCTTGTTTCAACAAGTTATGGGGCAGTGTTGCCATATGGCAATAAAATCAAATGATTGAATGGAAAACCAATGGGAACATTTGCAAGTTAAAGGGTTAATAAGATATCTATATTACAAAAAAAATGAGGACTGATCTAAATAAAAAATTACTTAGACTCATAAAAGTCAAATAGTGTCTACTTGCCAAAACGTTTTGATATTGTATTCATGTAAGTTTTTTTTATCAATTTTTTGTTACTAATTTAATTCATTAATTTCACCTAAGAAGATTTTACAATGGCATCTAATATATTAGGATACTTTATATGTATACATGTAACTTAGAATATTTCGGAGTTGAGACTTCCATGTTTTGCAATATCTCTTTATTTTCTCTTTTTATCAGTTATCAACTCTGTAAGACTTCGGGGAGGAGAACGTTCTTTTGGCAAAGGTCGTGTGGAAGTATTTTACAATGGAGAATGGGGAACAATTTGTGATCATGGCTGGGAAATAAACGATGCTGAAGTTGTTTGTCGACAACTTGGTTATGACTATGCTGTCATGGCTTCACAAGGAGGTAATGTTCTTTATGGCAGTGGAAGAATATGGTTAGACGAAGTTCGTTGTGTAGGAAATGAAAATAATATTTCGAGTTGTGCACATAGTGGATGGGGATCACATAATTGTACACATGATGAAGATGCTGGTATACAATGTTCAGGTTTGTTTCTACATTATTTACATTTTTTTACAAAGATAATAAACTGAATTATTTGAAGGATCCTCAATGATTAATCGAAACATTTAATATGATTTTCAAATATTGAAACAAATATTGACAAATGCCTTAAGTATAAACAAGGCTTCGGTCGTAAATTAACCAAATAAACACAACTCGTTCCACGAGGACATAATTAAACATAACCTATTTTATGATTGCCCATAGAAAGATTCGATAATACCTGAGAAAAAGGGCAGTCCATTGACCAAATTTTCCGTGGAGGAATGTGATAATCCTTAAATATTCTGTTTGTTAGGATTGTTTACATTCATTATAGCTTTTTAAAGATGTAGGCTGCAGCTTATGAAGTTCCATTTAAATTTTTTTGCATATTTGAAAGGAGCATCTCTAAATATACACTACGGTGTAACTTGATGTCTTGTAATGGCGTGCTGTCTATGTTAAAAATCCATTTTTAATTTCGTTTTCTACTGACCGTTATGGTTTAGCAAAAGCCTCGCCTATAGAGCACCAGAAACGTATTTCTGAATAAGTAAAACGACAGTTATTTTAAAAATACGATAAAGTTTTCTACGTTGTAAGCGAAGAGTCTATGTGAATAATATACCTTTTATTTTTTGCTTGTTTCAACAAGTTATGGGGCAGTGTTGCCATATGGCAATAAAATCAAATTATTAAATGGAAAACCAATGGGGAACATTCGCAAGTTAAAAGGTTAATAAGATATTTATATTACAAAAAAAAGGAGGAATGATCTAACTAAAAAATTATTTAGACTCATGAAAGTCAAATAGTGTTTACTTGTCGAAAACGTTTTGATATTGTACTCATGTAAATTTTTTTATCAATTTTTTGTTACTAATTTAATTCATTAATTTCGCCAAAGAAATTTTTACAATGGCATCTAACATATTTGGATACTTTATATGTATACATATAACTTAGAATATTTCGGAGTTGTGACTTCTATGTTTTGTAATACCTCTTTATTTTCTTTTTTTATCAGTTATCAACTCTGTTAGACTTCGGGGACCAGAAAGTTCTATTGGTAGAGGTCGTGTGGATGTATTTTACAATGGAGAATGGGGAACAATTTGTGATGATGGCTGGGATATAAACGATGCTAAAGTTGTTTGTCGACAACTCGGTTATGACTATGCTGTCAGGGCTTTACTAGGAGGTAATGTTCCAAATGGCAGTGGAAGAATATGGTTAGACGAAGTTCGTTGTGTAGGAAATGAAAATAATATTTCGAGTTGTTCACATGGTGGATGGGGATCGCATAATTGTACACATGATAAAGATGCTGGTATACAATGTTCAGGTTTGTTTCTACATTATTTACATTTTTTTACAAAGATAATAAACTGAATTATTTGAAGGATCCTCAATGATTAATCGAAACATTTATTATGATTTTATATTACTGAAACAGATATTGACAAATGCCTTAAGTATAAACACAGCTTCGGACGTAAATTAACCAAATAAACACATCACGTTCCACGAGTACATAATTAAACATAACCAATTTTATGATTGCCCATAGAAAGATTCGATAATCCTAGAGAAAAAGGGCAGCCCATTGACCAAATTTTCCGTGGAGGAATGTGATAATCCTTATATTATCAGTTTGGTTACGAATTTTACATTAATTATGTCTTTTTAAAGCTGCAAGCTGTAGCTTATGAAGCTCCATTAAAAATTTTTTGCATATTAAAAAGGAGCATCTCCAAATTTAGACTACCGTGTAACTTTATGTCTTGTAGTGACGTGCTGTTGATCTGCAGAATTCATTTTTAAATTCGTTTTTTACAAACCGTTAAGGCTTAGCATAAGCTATGCCTAGAGAGCACCCGAAACGTATTTCTGAATAATTAAAAAGACGGTTATTTTAAAAATACGATAAAGATTCCCACGTTGTAAACGAAGAGACTATGTGAACAATTTACTGTTTATTTTTTGCTTGTTTCAAGAAGTTATTGGCAGTGTTGCCATATGGCAATAAAATCAAATGATTAAATGGAAAATCAATGGGGAACATTCGCAAGTTAAAAGGTTAATAAGATATTTATATTACAAAAAAATGAGGAATGATCTAAATAAAAAATTATTTAGACTCATGAAAGTCAAATAGTGTCTATTTGTCCAAAACGTTTTGATATTGTACTCATGTAAGTTTTTTTATCAATTTTTTGTTACTAATTGAATTCATTAATTTCGCCGAAGAAGATTTTACAATGGCATCTAACATATTAGGATACTTTATATGTATACATGTAACTTAGAATATTTCGGAGTTGAGACTTCTATGTTTTGCAATATCTCTTTATTTTCTTTTTTTATCAGTTTTCAACTCTGTTAGACTTCGGGGACCAAGAAGTTCTAGTGGCATAGGTCGTGTGGAAGTATTTTACAATGGAGAATGGGGAACAATTTGTGATGATGGCTGGGATATAAACGATGCTAAAGTTGTTTGTCGACAACTCGGTTATGACTATGCTGCCAGGGCTTTACTAGGAGGTAATGTTCCACATGGAAGTGGAAGAATATGGTTAGACGAAGTTCGTTGTGTAGGAAATGAAAATGATATTTCGAGTTGTTCACATAGAGAATGGGGATCACATAATTGTAGACATAAGGAAGATGCTGGTGTACAATGTTCAGGTTTGTATATACATAATTGGAAAATATTTCAACACAGATTCACCCCCCCATTTACATAACTTCTTTGTCGGTCACGCTCTACTGCTGAGCACGTTAGGTCACAAACCATGTATATTCTTACATATATGAATATTCAACCCCAATCAATGTTCTAGTTTTGTACCTAGGCGTAGCCAACGTTCTGGTATTTAGTCTTGTTTTGTTGGTTTTTCCGAGTTGATTTACTAAGAAATCCATAAATTTGAAAATGAACATTGCTTGATGGAACAATGAATAAGGCTTCATTAAACAATTTTATCAAAATTCTAAGGCAAGATGTAACATCTCCGAATACTGGCGCTATGCATATCAAGATATTCACATCAATCACGACAAGCTTGGATCAAATATGATTTTTCCACTTTTTGTAAAAACCTTTTTTAAAGGATTTATTGTGGGTAAGCCTTCGAGCTTGTTTGGTATGGATGATACGCTTTAATTTCACATAAATTTGTTAGTCGATGCATTTTCGTTTGCAAATTAATCCAGCATCTCGAATTAACAAACTCAATTGACTTAAGTTTGTTTAAAGTGAACATTTTATGTGGCACCAACATAAAATTGGTATTCACTTAATTAGAATTCAATATATAAGTAAAGAGAATGAAACGCTGTTCTGATTGGTCAATAGCTGTGTTTTCATTAGTCTCTGCAAAACAGATCTGAGTTCAACCCGTCAAATTAATAAAATTGCAAATCGATCATAAATGCATTTTAGGGTAAAGTTAAAACGTCGGTTTTAATTTGTCAGTTTCACTTTATTGTTTTTCATAAAAGAAATAAATGATTTTTCGTGTTTGCACTGGCTTATGCACAAGGGTTAAACTAGCACCTTTTAATGTGGGGTGGGGTGGGGGTGGGGATGAAATTGCCCTGCAAGGACACAAGATGCCCTGCAGATCATATAGATTAGTACTTATTCAACAATAAAATATTGTGATGATTGAACAGATTTTCGCTACATATTTTTGTAATGCATATTGTATTCTTGTGACAGAACGCACTTTAGTGTATTATTAAATCTTTAATGGCATTTTTCGCATCCTTGCAGTTGCCCAATTATTTAAAATAACATTTAAGTCAACATTGTCCGTAAGATCTTTTTCACATGCAAGAACGATTAAGTCATTTAATCGCATATCTTTCTTTGTGCATCTCAAGCAGTTTTTGACAATCATATACTTGCTGAAACACCTTTCATCTTTTGCCACGGACACTGGAGCGGTCAGCAATAGTTGATACGCCTTGCACACCGTTGGAAAGACGTTTTTGTGATTGAAAGCAAATAACGCAACGTCTTGAAGGGATTTGGGTTCTGATTTAAGTTGTGACGACACAATATTATTGAAAATTTCCAACTCAGACAGCAGTATTTCTGCATCAACATCTTATACCGCCGGTGGAAAGACTACACATTCCATTAACTGTTTCAGCCATTGGCCTTTCTAGCGGCATCTGTAAGCTCTCCAAGAAGTTTTATCTGATCGATGCAAACTTTAATGTTATCGGTATACTCGGTAATAAGTGAGTCTAGAACCAAGTAGATTTCTTTCGGTACAAATCTTTAAAGGTTTTTCTGTTGTTATTTCGGAATGCTCACCAATTCGTTTGGGTGACTTTCTTGATCGATGATGACGAGTGTTCTGCCATTACGTCTATTCCTGAGTGCAAGCCTGAGTGCAAGCCACATCAAGAAGAATCAACATAATTTCTTTGTTCTTTTCTTCATCTGCTTTCTCTTGCATCAATATTTCCTTCATTTTCGCATTCATCATTACATCAATATGGCCAGATGTTATTGAGAAACGAGCAAAATCAGCCAGAGCAGCTTGATGGGACTTGCTACTTAAGTGTTTATGAAGTTTTCCTTCATAAACACTTCAGGAAGAAAGATTAATTTTTAAAATGTATTTATTGTTCTTTTACTTTTCGTTGCAAAATATGACGTGCTTCATCTTTCTATTGCTACCAAGGAACAATACTATGATTATGACAATGGATGAAACTGTTTTGCTTTCATTATGGTATAAGACTTGGCAAACACAAGTAGTAATTACGGACAAAATTTAAAACTGGCCAAAATTTGCGGATTTTTTCCGTTCAGATCATGGATAGGGTTTTCCTATATTCCTTGATATATACTGAAAGCAGAAAATCGCTCTTCTGAGAGTTAAATTTTATAAAATTTTATAGGCTGAGGAAAGATCCTCGTGATGGGGAATCATGTCAAAGAAATACACTAAAAACCTAATTCTAATCGAAGATGCTTATCGTAAAAAGTGTCGTGGAAAATTTGAAAGCTTATGTAGAAAATGCTGTGTGTTTGACATTTTATCCATTGTTGAAATGTATCTGTAACACAAAACACGTGTAAACAAATTGTAATCAACCATATTATCATATAAAGTAAATGTAGATATTATCATAATCTATAAAAAAAAGTAAAATGATAAAGTTTCATTTCTGCTAAGAATAAATATTATTGACAAATCAAATGATTTACTGAATTATATTATCTTTGACAATTGACAAATCAAGCCGTAAGATTTTCTTTTGAAGTTACATAAAGTTATTGCGTGTATTCTGCAAGACAATGCTGGCCATTGCTACCTACCATGCCGCTTGTACTGCCCACCAACCAGAGATGACCGCGATTGCATTAAAATAAAATTAATAAAATCAGTTTATGATGTGTTTCCAAAGGAGAAGCAAACCTCGACTAGCTTTGTAATTAATAGAAATCTTAAAATCAATCTATTGTAAATCTTGACATTTAGTTTTTCCGTTGGGACTTGTTAATCCTGTAGATTGATTTACCAATAAATTGATGCATTGTAGGAATCAGAAATGTCTAGAATATGATATCGAAATAAAAATTAAGAATCATTTTGTCTCACTCAAAATGGATGACGATTTTAGAAAATGACGTCAGATATTGCATTCATGAATTATTATGTTTCCAATCATTTATGATTTATCAAACATCAAGTACAACATAAAGTACCATTTCTTCAATTACAATGTTTATTATTATAAAATGAATGCAAATTTTAAATTATTAGTGAAAACATATCATTTTTTTGAACTTTTTCTTAGTACAGACTACAGCTAAAATGAAGTGTTAATCTTTCTCATGACATATATCAGTGAAGAATCATAACCAGATCAGTACGGTATCGCTCAGAAAGTTTTGGTAATTCAGAAAATGTACTTTATGTAATGTTAAAGTATCGTTTGCTTGACATCATTTCATATTATAAAATAAACAAAATGAAACACGTGCGCTGATTGGTTTAGACCCGTGCTTGCATTAGTCTGCGAAAAACGATCTAAGCTCAACCAATCAAATCAATCAATCAATCAAAGAGAATTTGCAAATTGATCATGACTACACGTTAAAAGAATATTATAACGGTTTTTTGTTTTGCATTGTTATTTTTTAAAAAAATAAAAGATGTTTTTCGTGTCTGCACTGGCTTATGCAAGTGTGTCTGGGGTAAAAACTCTTGAGCATGTGAAACCCTCGACATTCTGTCTCGGCTTGCACTGATCTGCTCTCGAGTTCTCCCAAAGGTATCCTCGGATTGCATAAGCCTGTGCAAACACATGCAGTAAACATCTTTTATTTATTAATTTGTGTAAGAATTACTTCATTTGTAAATAACATCCTTGTTTATTAGACAAAATATTTATGAAATGCTAAAACGTCAATGGTTTTCACAGAATCTGTTTACATTAGACTACATTTACTATACTAGATCAAAACTTGAGACATTTTCATTTCATTATGCCTAAGTAAAGAGTTTAACGACTTCTTTTACCCTTTTTTTAAGAAAGAACACTTATAATTTGATCTAACCTTTGTAATCTTGGTCGTTAGGTCCTTACACCTCAACAACATAACGACATAGCGACATGATTGCAAATGGTATTATAACATTTAATTAAAATAAATTGAACGCTACTTGTAATAAAAAACCCTGATAACTTTTTGAAGCCGCGATTTTATCCCAGAAATGGGAGATTTTACCCCAGATACGTTTGTGAAGTCAATCTATTATTACTCCGCGCGAGAGTCTGGGATAAAATCTCGCGTATCTGGTCTAAGATTTGGGCTTTTCGCTTCAATTATTAGCTTTAGGTAGCGCTCCATATATTTTAGTTCAATGTGTTATAACGACAACCATTTGTAACCTGGCAAACATGTCGCTGAGTAGTAACAACCTAGCGTCAACGACGGTGTGTTACACACATAGCTAGCTACCTAATTTCCTGGAAGTGTTATCTTGCCTATATTGAATTAGATGGTATATGCCTTAACACAGGCTAAAAAATAGCCAAATAAAACAAAGTGCAAAGTTTGCTTGGTCATAATGTTTTTGATGAACGTACTAAAACTACATTAAGTTACAAGATATGTTGCGTCGATTTGTAATAACTTTTTCTATCTTTTCATTCTCTCTTACATTGATAGTCCAGCTGTTAATGACAAAATTCTTCACTTGAATGATACAAATATGAAACTTTCTCACATTCTTACTATGCCTAGTAACACAAAATTTTGATATAGGGCCAGCCCATATTTTACATATAAAACGAGTTCTACGAATGTCGTGTTTGATGACGTCGTCGGTAGTAAAAAAAATAAAATTCAGAGAAATCTGCAATTTCCCTGTACATTCTTATACAACAGCTAAAGACGATAGAAAAACTATATTAAAACTTTTGCTTTTGAGAAATACATTCTGAAATATTCTACATTAAAAGTGTTTTTAAAGTGCTGGCTCAGCACTTTTGTTTAGTGTTATTGCTTTTTCTTAAATACATTGGAAAAGCGCCTAACCAAGATCCGTAATATTAAAATGATTTTAATGCCCTCATGTTATTGACAATCACCCCCACAATTACACAAACGAGTACAAACTGAGTGTGCTTTGACGCATTTACAACGACTAGAACAT